GAGAGAGAGGGGGGGGAGGGCGAGGGGGGAGGACGAGGGGGGAGGGAGGTATTATGGTTCTTGCAGTTGGCCTGCTGACCTCCTCCTCAGGAAAGACTCCTATTACTCGAGCAAAATACTCCTTCTCTACCTTCCCACCTTGAACCTGCAGGTACAATAAGACAACCAAAACCCTCACCACAACTCAAAATCCTGATTTATTGATTTGTACTATTGTAGTAATTTTGTACCTCATTCAAGCACACTTGTAAACTTGAAACTCATTGCACAGAGAACAAGACGCATTGCGACCAATCTGAAATTGCCTTGCTGCAACCAAAACTGGGATTAAAAAACAGAATGAATTAGCAGAAGCAAAACTGAATAGGGGATATTTTTCAAAAAAAGAGTGGGAAAAATGGAACAAGAACCAGAGGCAATGTGGAAGAGCAGATGTGTGTGAGCCGTGAGAAATAAGAGGAGATGCACATACATTAAATGTATACCAGGGTTGCATACCCACCTACCGCCGACCGTTTTCCCGCCTACCAGTATGGCCAACCGGTCGCCGGTCTGCCGACCAGTCTGTAGAGGGCCATCTTGCTGTTTTTTTAAAATCAGTCCAGGGCTGTACTGCGCTTGCTGAGTACAGCCCAAATCCGCTCAGAAACTTTTGGGGAGTGGGGGCTACGGTAGGTTATGGGGGGAGTATAGGGGAAGCATAGGGGGGTTATAAGGGATTAGGGGGGCAGTATGAGGGTTTTGGGGGGTGCTATGGGGGTGTTGTGGGGGACAATATATGAGTATAGTGTCATACTTCAAGAGATATTTTTAATTAGCGCATGGTTAATCAATGAAAAGCTTTATAATTAAGCAATTAAGTAGCCTTTCATTTTTATTGATAAAAAAAAGAAATGACAATATATAAAAATAAAATAGGGGTGTTGGTGGGGTTATTGGGGGTTCTGAACACCCCCCCCCAAAAAAAAAAAACGCCAACTGGTAGGTGCCGACCAGTGGAACGGTCGGCTGGTTGGCCCTGACCAATCAAGGCGCGCCCACCGTCGGCGTGACTACTCTGATGTTAATATATGTATAGTCATAGAGAGCTTCCCAGTGACGCGTAGACAGAAAGGGGGAAAATGACAAGAAACAAGCGCCGGTGACAGACTGTTTCAAACTTTCAACAGAGTTTTGCTGACTTATCATATGCTACACATAAGAGAGAGAGAGAGAGAGAGAGAGAGAGAGAGAGAGAGAGAGAGAGAGAGAGAGAGAGAGAGAGAGAGAGGTCAGGAAATTATTTATTCAAAATTCATTTATAATCTATGGTACCAGACTGGCGCAAGACCACTTGCGCGGCCAGGCCAAAATAACCATCGTCATCATCATCATCATTATCATCATCAGCAGCAGCATCATCGTCATCATACTTGTACTTTTTTTTTAATATTTTGGTAAAGAATTTCCATGTGACCCTGAGGCAAACGCCTTTCTATTCACTTCCTGAAGGTTGGACTGTGGAAGAGCCTAAGACAGCTGATTATTTTGGATTGGCAGAAACAAGTGCAACGAGCAAAATCCTTCAGTCAGGGAGTGCCTGGTTTTGGAGACACTGGGCAGCAAGCCCCAATTTCGCGGACACCGGTTGCAGTGCTGGGGAAATACACTTTGGACAGTTTTTTTGGAGTGGACTCAGTGGAGGATGAAAACTGTGGAAAATGAAAACTGTTCTTTTTCTTCGCTCTCTCTATAAGGACATCTTTTTCTGCCCTCGCTAGGAGATCGACGCTTAATTTGTTGAAATGTTTTGTCAGAAGACTTTTGAGTCTTGACCATACATTCGGCGCATCACGTGCGTGCAGGTTGCGCACGTGCGCCGCATAGCGCATGCGCACACGTGCGCGCGTACGTGATCCGGCACATTTACAAAACAACATTTAAAAAAAAATAAAAAAGGGTAGGCCATGGTAACCAAATGCGTCCCTCCTTTTTGGGAATTTTAAGCGCATATTTTGGGGCCACTTCGTCCTACTCATTGGATCTGTTCTCTTTTCCGAAAGGTCCCCTGCAAAGAATCAGCAGGGTACCCAAGCTTTTGAAAGGATATTCATCGAACTGCAAGCAGACCACGAGCAGGCCAGCAATATATCCTGGATTCGGATTCAGGTCTGTGTTCCAAGAGTTATGGGTTACGAAAGCACTACAAACACTACAGTAGCTGTCTCGTTTTTTTGTTTTCCCTTTTCTTACGTGCAGTGGCCCCTAAGGGCCTCGCTCCACTCATCACATAAGAAAAACATATGGCTTGTATGGTCCCAATTTCTAGGAGAAGATTCATTCTAGTTTTGCACATGTGGTGAGTAGTGGATTGAAGCCCGAAAATCACATGCCGAGTTAGCAAGTCAGTAACCCATAACTGCTGAAACACGGACCTGAATTCGAAGCTACACCATATATAGCTAGCCTGCTCCCTCCTTACTTCAAGTCCAGTGACAACTCTTCTCCTGCCGACGGGACCCTTACATTTTTTTGGCAGGGACCTTTTGAAGTACCGGCAGGGGTTGTTTGAATAATTTGAAAGGGCTCTTTGCTCTCTCTCTCTCTCTCTCTCTCTCTCTCTCTCTCTCTCTCTCTCCAGCATGAGTAATTTGAAAGGGCTCTTTGCTCATCAGCACAGCACACTTCACCTTCGCGCCGCAAGTATGCAAAAGACAGTTCTTTTGTCTCTGGTTTTCAACTTTTCACCTCCTTTCTTTTTTTTCTTTTTCTTTTTTTCCTTTTTTTTCCCCATAAAACAGGTCCTTATGGCCCTGGCTCCATTTCCATTCTGGGGAGCATCATTCAGGTTCCTATTCCATCGGCAAGTCAGAATAAAATGTTACATCACCTCCTTTCTAGATAGTCCCATTTACCCTGTCTATAGGGGAGGGGCTCTGCCTGAGGTTGAAGGTGATAGGCTTTGCGACCCATGGATCATCCATCCTATATTGTTCTAGTTGTATTGTTGCCTTCCTTGGGCACTGGGCCCGTAATAAAAATTCTGTTATTTTTTTTTACTTTAAAAAGTTGTTCGGTTTATTTTTCTGCATAGCTTAGTTTTTTTGGGGATGTTTTTTGGCTGGGGAGGGGAGAGGGAGAGGGGTTGCCGAGATCTTTCCTGACCATACTTGCGGCGCACCGCGGTGCGCGCCTCAGCGCACCGCACTGCGCCCCGCACCCGGTGCGGCGCACCCGATTAAATAGGGTCACCAAAAAAAAAAAGGGGG